GGGTTTTTTGTTTTTCCCTCAAAAAAATTCTGCAGTGCTATTCAGATCTTCAGCTGTGGCTGTTTTTTCACAGTAAACTCCACTCCATCCAAGCTCACCATATTCCAAACACATGGTTGTGTTTCACCTCAGTGATTCTCCCTAAGTCCTTCTCCAAACACAAGTGCTTTTTCCTCTTACCCATTGATCTCTGTCCTGACTTTCCTTTGGGGAAGCCCTGCCTTGGCTGAGCGTCCTACCTGTCGTGACCTCTCTTCTGTAAGTTGGTCATTTTTGTGTACATACAGCTCGGGGCTCCTGCACCTCGTCTGCCTGCATCTCCTGCTGACAAGACCAGGATGGCACTTGTCTCACACAGCACTGCTGATAGCTCAGGGTTGCCTCAGGTGTGGTGATGGCGAGTCTAGGAGGTCAAGCTTCGGTTCCCTGTGAGAGACTGAGAGGGTTAGTGAGCATCTGTGCTGTAGGTCAAGGTTGGGAAGTGGTGGCATGGGCTACTTGTGTGCAGTCTAGCACTCGGGAAATATTTATGCAGTGTTATGCAGCCGATTTCAAAGCTCTGAAGGATTAAGACTGTGTTTTGTACAGATTTCTAAGCCTGGCGTGTGAGAGCTGCTCGTGTTGGGCTGCCACTCTGCTCCCCAGCCTTGGAGTGGGAGTGATGATGTGGACTGTTACTCAGATACTTGAACAAAGTAGATTTCCTTCCTCAAAGTCCTTGCTTTTAGGTATTAGGGTCCAGAACGTTAGGCTGGGATGAGGTTGCTTTACAGAGTGGCCAGAAGTTTTCAGAGCTCTCTTGGAACTGAGTACTATATTCCAGCTTCATAGATGATGAAGTTCTGCTTTGTAAAGACCCGCACTTGACTGACTGGGTGTCCTGTGTTAAGGCGGAGGGACAGCCAGCCAGGGACACCAGAGAGCTCTGTGGATGGCTTTGCTGGGCAGTGCTGGGCGACCACGGCAGACTGCTGGTAGTGGTGAGGGTTTTGGCAGGGTAAAGGGCGCACGTGTGTGATATAAATTGAACACACGCTTCAAGGTGTTTCCTTTGGCTTTTTGGTCATTTTAATGGTAAAAATTATAGGGCGTAGGATGATATTTTCAGAGCCAGTGGTGTTTTTTCAAGCTGGGAAGATGAATTGAGATGAAAGTAGGGGGCTGCACAGAGACCATCTCCTCATTAAACAGGGCTTGAAATGATAGGTGGCTTTTTGGAATCTGTGTTGAGGGCTTATTGCAATGTCAGCGCTAATGTGTTCTCCAAGTTTTTAAAGACTTGAGAAGTGTTAATTAAATTTATGATAATGCTAAAAAGTTGTTGTTGGCTGTAATGACATTTTTATTGTTTCTTGCCACTTAAATATGTTTGACTGTTTTTTACAACCTATTTTTTTTCTTTCTGCATGAGTATTTTCATTGTAGGAAGTTTGGCATACGTCTGCAAATGGAGGAAAATAAGAGTCTTATCCCACTAGCTCTAACCACGATAACCGCTTGAAGTTTATTTTTGATCATTCTTGCATAAGAATGCATTTTGTTTGATTCACAAGGAGCTGTCTCCTTTGCTTCAGACATTCCTTGTGTTTCCTGCGTCTTTCATGCGTCTGATTAACTATGCGTCTCAACTTAGTAAATTCAGAGAGTGAGGAGGGATAAACCAGGTAAAAACATTTGAGTGTTTACAGTGAAGGCTGTTCACAGAGCACCACTTTAAAGCAGCAAAAAAGGAATGTTTTTTGGAAGAAAAAAAAACCCCAAACTGTAATATGTGGTCATAGTTTTAAAGTCGCTTACATGTTAGTTGTTAAGTATAGTAATATTGTAATGAAATGACAGTCTAACAGTGTATGTGTTTAAGATCCTTGAACCCTTTTGGGATTTATCTTTGGCTTTTCTGCTTGCAGCCTTCCGGTGCCTGACTGTAAGGAGCAAACTGCTGTGGAGAAGGCTCCTCCTGCCTTTTGATTTACAGACCCTTTCTTGGAAGGGTCTGAGAGGCACTCAGTAGAGAATATTTGAGGCACTCAGGATAGATTTGTTTATAGTATTATTTATTCTTTGTGAATTTTTTATAAGTATAAATAAATGAATATTGTCTTACAATATTTATTCATATAGATTCATTAAAATGGGTTTTGTGGCATTTTTCGTCCAGGAATGCCTGAGTTAGATGAATACACAATGGAAAGGGTGCTGGAGGAGTTTGAACAGCGATGCTACGACAACATGAATCATGCTATAGAGACCGAGGAAGGGCTGGGGATCGAGTATGACGAGGATGTCGTCTGCGACGTCTGCCAGTCGCCTGACGGTGAGGATGGCAACGAGATGGTGTTCTGTGACAAATGCAACATCTGTGTGCACCAGGTATGTCCCTCCTGGCAGGAGGAGTTTAAGAAGTGTGCCTAACACTTCTGTTCTAATAGGTTCTTACAGTGTTTGAAGTGTTTCTTGCTACTTTTACAACCAGGAGAATAGGATCCTCTGTGGAACTCGTTCTTCCTTCACATAGTGTTCTTATTCCCGTCCACAGAAGTCAGGTTTATAGAATATATGAGCCCCTCTGCTCTGCTCTGTCACCTGGGTGTAGCTATTAAGAACGCTGGGAGAAAACAACTCTTGGAAAGGGGGTTCGTTTGCTGTGTCAGTTTGCTAGGGCTGCTGTAACAAAGTGCCGCAGGCTGGATGGCTGAAAGTAACAGAAATTTATTCTCTTGCTCTCTGGACACTAGAACTCTGAAATCAAGGTGTTGGCAGGGCTGTGCTTCCTCTGAAACCCACAGTGGAATCCTTCCTCTCCTCTTCTAGCTCCTGGTGGTTTGCTGACAGTTGTCGGCGTTTCTTGGTTTGCAGCTGCACGACTCTGGTCTCTGGCTCCATCATCAGATGGTGTCCTCCCTGAGCGTCTGCGTCTGCACACATGACCGTCATCTTGTAAAGACACCAGTCATACTGGATTGAAGGCTCATGCTACTCCAGTGTGACCTCATCTTAACTGATCACATCTGCTGTGACCCTATTTCCAAATAAGGTCACATTTCGAGGTACCAGGGTTAGGGCTTAACTTTAACATGTATTTTGGGGACACAAACACATAATGTTTGCTAACATGTTAGTATGTAAGCCAAGCCCTTGAACAGCAGGAAAGGGGCCCCTTTTCTTGGAAGTTACTTCCTGTCCTCCCGATACCAGTAGGATTTGGTAAGGATGAGCACCGGGTAATTTAAAAAGCTTGAGTCTCAGTCTTGACTCTTCATGGCTGTCAGTTATTTTTTAAGGCAGTAATGAAATAATTTGTGCTTCTGTGGGGGTGCGCGTTCGCACATGCTCTTAGTTAGAGGCTGTCCTGAGGTACTTTCTTTGAATTCACTCGTTGATGCCGAGACTTGTGTGGGATAGTTGCTTGGGTGACCTCCTGGGAAGTAGAATCAAGTTGGCTCTGTGAAGCTCCTAAATACCATTGTCTTTATCATCCGTCTGCTTCCTGGGCTTCCCTTTGGCCTGACGACTGTGCTGGCTGTGGCCTTGCCCCGCCTCATCCTGCCGAGACAGGAGACCACGGTCTCTTGCTTATAAAGTCATGTTTCGGCCCATCTTGTAGCTTTGGATTTTCAAATTATCTAGGAGCTTCCTGGTGATGATGGGGGAATTCATGAGCGTTGTGACTACTGTTGTTGCTTTTTTGTTTCAGTGTTTTTTTTTCCTGCCATTTTACTTTTTTTTTCCCTGAGAAAAAAATGTTATTTGGAAAAAAGTGTTCTGCTTGAAAACTACTTAAACCCCTGTCTTATAAATGAGTCAACTGATGTCAGGGCGGTCTGTTCAGGGTGCTGCCATGGGTAGTGGCGGAGTTGGAACTGGAACTGGGGGCTCGGGACCCCCCCACCACACCCCCATGCCCTGTCTCCTTTCTTTCAGCCGAACTGCACTGTCTCTTTCCTCAAGATTTCTTTGTGGTTCCTTTTTTCTTTTGAGAGATTCTTCATGACTTGTCTTTAAGGCATCCTTTACTTAATCTTTTAATTTACTTAGACTTGCTTTTCCAGTTAAAAAAAAAGTTACTTCTTCACGTGTGACATTTTCTAGAATGCCTGGGATAGACCTTTTTAGGATTTGAAACCTTAATAGTGTCATTTAGCTCTACTAAAAAGTTTTTTTTCCAGTAAGTCTGTGTTGACACTGGCTCATTCATGGCACCGACACAGCGCTCCTGAGTGCCAGTCTTAGTGTCACTTAGCTTCACTGAGCTCTCATCCTGTGGTTTCCTATTTTGCGTCCTGGTATTCAGATTGCATAGCGGCTGTGTTTTTCCTGTCTGGAGGACTGGAGCTATGTTACTCTGTCTCTCCACTTCCTGGCTTGTAGTTCATTTGAGGATAAAGTTCTGAACAGTTTGGTGTTTTTACAAGGCTCTGAGTGTGCTCCTGGTACCATCTTCACTTCTTTAATGTTTGCCTTTTCTTTCTCTGAACTATGTTGATGACTTTGAGTTGCCTTGATTTCTGCAGTTTTTGCTGTCCTGTCTGATTTTGCCATGTTATGCAGAGCAGGCTTTGTTTTAAATACCAGCTAAAGAGGCCAAATTGTCTTTGTCTAGAATGCCTCATTTTCCCGTGTCTTGTGTTCCCTTGGGAGTGCTGGGGCCTAGGTAGGAGCGTCTCCTTGGCCTGGGGATGACGCTGCTCCGTAGTCCCCTCTCGTTCCCACTGCCATCCCGTGTGATAGCTTTGGGAGACTCTCAAAGCTCTGTTTTTTCCCTCACTTTGTATCCTGCCCACATCAGTAAATCCCCCACTGAGCCCTGGAGAGCGAGGATTTACTGCCCAACCTTTAGAAACTTGGTATAGGTGGTGTTTGCAGTAGTTCAGCAGAGTTTTTGCAAACCTTTTTGTCCTTAAGTTCTTTTTAGGACCACCTTCTGGTAAATAAATAAATGTGTGGTACCCACAGATCTCAGACACCTCCTGACTGCTGCTGTGAGCCTGCCTGGCACTTCACCTGAAGGAAGAGGGTTGCGGCTGGGTGGACATGGGAGAGGCTCTGTTTTGATGGTGGTTTTGTTAAAATCTTTCTAGGTATTTTAAAATTAATTAATAGACACACTGGGAAAAAAATAACTCTTTTCTCTTTGTCTCTTTTCCTTGGTGATGTGCTGTGGCTTGACAGGCCTGTTACGGAATCCTCAAGGTCCCAGAGGGCAGTTGGCTGTGCCGGACCTGTGCCCTCGGGGTTCAGCCCAAGTGTTTGCTGTGTCCGAAGAAAGGTGGCGCCATGAAACCCACCCGCAGTGGGACCAAGTGGGTCCACGTCAGCTGTGCGCTGTGGATCCCTGAGGTGGGTGCGCCCCCATGGCTCCGTGCGGGGGCTGTGGCTGTTCATTCTCATGGGGAGCCACTCAGAAGGCCGCCTTGTAGCTGATGAGTGAAAGGACACCTGAATTGCTATCCTTTTTTTCACGTTATTTGAATCCCAGGCATGCTGCCATCTGGTCACTCACGGTGTGTAAACTTGTGGAAACAGTAGCTGTAAGTGGCGGTGAGTTGGACTCTCGGGTGGGCATGTTGAGACGTCCCTGCAGATGCCATTGCGTCTGGCCCCCCACTGCCGACACGCTCCTGGGAGTGCCCCTGTCCTGCCCCTCGCACACAGCACGGTTGTGGTTGGAGAACCACTGCTCTAGGCCACGTTTTTGTGATTTTTTTTTAATTAAGATTCTTACTTTGCCTCAACCTTCTTAATTTCAGGTCTGGTCTAATTTATTTCAAGTCCCAGACCTTGACTAATTTAATTTGCATGGCTCACTCTGAGAATATCATTTGTGATTCAGATTTCATCATTTTTTGGTGTATGATTTTGGTGCATTTTCCTCCAGAGGAAACTTATCTGGGGGTGATTTGGATTGAGGCTTCAAGACTTGGGTCTTGGTAGCACAGGATCTCACGGTTTGGTGTTAGCAGGGACGTGGTTCAGTGATCCAGGCAGCATGCAGAGAGGGTACCTTATTTATCCTGGTAGTTCTGCACTTTGAATGTGGTAATCGTTTCTGACTGAAGAGAGTGGTTTTCTTTCGTGGGAGAGAGATTACAGGCAGTTACTATTTATGTACTCCGTTGTTCACCGACGACTTAAGCATACTTAAGGTGGGTCTTCAGTCTTGACCACTTCTCTGAGGCTCAGAGGTGCAGTAGGTTACACTGTCCTGGTACATGTGCATCTTTGCTGTCAGACACTCGCTGAGCAGTGAACATTCCAGTTATCTGGGTGTTTCTGCAAACGGGACTTCTGTCTCATGACCCCCGGAGGACAGAGCGCGGGGACTAGGCTGTGGTCTCGTGCTGCTGGCCCAGAGCTGGCCACTGTGCTGTCCTGGTGCTTTAATGTGGGGCTTCGCCTGTGCGAGGAGGGCGAGTGCCCCTGGCCACCATCTGGTAGGAGGGCCACGGGAAGGGAATGGGCCTTTAAAGTTCTACCATTTGTGTTCAGCCTTTGCCTGTCTGACGGCCTCTGCCCCGTCTTGCTGTTTCTCGGCCTCTAGGTGAGCATCGGCAGCCCAGAGAAGATGGAGCCCATCACGAAGGTGTCTCACATCCCCAGCAGTCGCTGGGCACTGGTGTGCAGCCTCTGCAACGAGAAGTTTGGGGCCTCCATACAGGTAATCAACTTAGCACAGCACCGTCACCCTTCACTGCCTTGTGGGGAGCAGGACATGGGGGTGCTTTGTGAAGTCATCATTAGAGGACTTGGAAATGGGACTAGAATCCAGGAAGTGGGACGAGGTTCTCACAGCCCGTCTGCGGTTGCTGAGGAACGTCTCTGGCCTGGTACACACGCCTTTATTGGCGGATTGTATCCAGTGTAGCCAGAATCCCAGCTGTAACCATCTCAGGGCAACTCAGAAGTCTGCTTGAGCTGCAAGGCAGTTTTAGTTTGTATCTGGTCTCTCCCTTCCTGCCTTAAAGCCTGGCATCTTGGCTCTTTCCACAGGCTGACAGCTCTGGGGAAGAGCCGGAGTCTTGGCCTGGAGGGTCAGCCTCCCCCTCACCTGCAGAGCGGCAGACCTGCCCCTGTAGCTGCACCTGCCACTGCTGGTTTCTGAGGTGTGCACGTGGAGGGTGTCATGTCTTAGTGTACACTGTTTGAAATCAGCTTGGCATGCTGGTGTTTTTGCAAAATTAGGTAAAACAGGGACTCCTCAGGAGCACCAGCTGGGTCTAGGGAACACCCTCGAGGTGCTGCGCCAGGGTTCCTTGCAGGAGCTGTTAACTTGAACACGGTCTGGATATCTGATTCTTTATGGCACCGTGTGTAGGGGAGGGTGAGAGGGAGGGTGGGGAAGGAGAGCCTGTAGTTTCTTTGTCCACGTACAGGCAAGTGTAGAAAGTCATAAGGTAGATAGAATCAAGGAGAGAATATAGATGGCGTGCTGTTCTCTCACATTGTCTAAAGCGCTACTTGAGAAGTTAATTTCTGGGCCTCACATTTTTGGTGTCACGACAGTCATGCCTTGAGAGGCCTGAAATGTTGTTCCACTAAGGTCTCCAAATACTGTGTGTGGCTGACAGTTGGCCCTTTGAGTCTGGCTCTTCCTCTGGGAGGTACCAACTCAGGGCCACTGGCTCTTCCTCAGTCCCTGTGTCAGCTTCTGAGAGCAGAGGTGCTATTTTGGGGTGGCTTCTCTCTCGATGCAGAGAACACAGTGGCTCAGCAAAGACACAGACTCCACAAACTTGGCCAAACTGCCAGTCATGGGTTTTAAAGAAATGACCTCATTTGGCAAAATCAGTTTGTATTTTGGCTGATAAATACTTCTCTTGGTAAAGTATCCACTGACTGGTGGGTTTTTTTTTTTTTAAAGAGTTTTTGTTTTGCACACCAAGTAGTTGTACTTTTCTTCATTATCACTTCCAGTGGTGTTCAAGAATCCAAAACGTAACAAAAATATTCAGGGGGTGAGGCATGAGACGGCTGGTGGGATTTGGCTGTGGACCTTGAAAACAGTGCAGATTTTTGTATGTGAATGGAATCTGCTTAAAACTAAGGCATGACAGAAGCCTCTGGCCTGAGAGCTGTCCTGGGAGGGAATGGAGGAGGAATTTTTTTAAAGCCTCAAAATTAAAAAAAAAGACATCAGAGCTGGGTGTGCATATGCATGTGGACTACCCACGTGAACACTTGCAGGAATCGAGCTGTGACAAACCAAGGAAAATGGAAGTCATTTTCTTCCAAGTTACCTGATGTTCTTCTGAGGATAGAGTTTACACCCGTTACTGAGCGAGCACGCCAGTCCTGGTCCATAACTGATGTTTACAAGAGGTCAGCGAATGGGATCTCTGCTTCTCTTCTGAAGAGACAGTAAAGCGACTTTTTTTGTTGCTGTTGACCTCTTTTTCCCAGAACATTAATTTGAAAGAGAAAAGCCATGGAAGGTTGATGATTTTTCATATCTGCACAGATTAGATTGACTTTATTAAAGAATTCCTGTCAGAAATGTCTGCAGCTGGGTAGGCTCTGGCTTACGTTTCTGTAACATCTGTTTGCTGAGTCAACCTGAATAGGAAAACCCAGAGGAAGGCCATTTGGCGCCTTTACAAAGTCCCATGTAAATGTTCTGCTGCGGCGCGTTCCCCTGGAAGGTCGGAGTGCTGAGTTACAGTGTCGTTCAAGCCAAACACGGGTAGTGTCTCTGTCATCTGCTCCCACTTTACTTCCCACTTGGATGCGTGCTGAGGGGGAGCACTTTGTCTCTTACTGGTAGAGGCCAGGTGTGTGTGTGCGTGCGTGCGTGCGTGCTGCCACTAAAGACTTCACACGTCTCTTGGAACTGAGGTTATTATTATAGATAAAATTGCAGATTTATGTTAGTTCATGTGCTTTAAGTGTTTGCAGTGAGGGGACTGATTTTCTGTGATGGAGCTGGATTTTCTGTACTTCTGGGTAAAAGAGACTTTGTAATAATGGAAGAAATCATGACTGGCAGTGAGTCACCTCTTAAATACTGAAGTGATTAGGGCAAGAAGTCCCAACCCAAGGCTCTGCCGTTCACGGTGATGCCATGCAGGCCTGTTGGATGAGCTTAATTAAGCTTTTCCGCTGGCCTGTGGCCACTCGGGTCTGTTCCTCTCTGCAGCCCTGGCGTGCCTGGGATCACTTGGCCTCACACAATACAGTGTTGCTTTTTAAGGGACTGGCTTCAGTCACCACAAGGAACCTCCTTCCAGGGATTCGCCCAGCATGATCAGATGGGGAGAAGTTAATCACTTTTCTCCTGCTAGGCCTCCGGCTTGCTGCCTGGATTCAAGGCCTTGCACTCTAGCCCTGGTGAGGCCTTTGTGGAGGGGGGTTTGGAGGGGCAGGGGGAAGGCAGAGCTGGGTGATGCCTGGTCTCTGTGCAGCGGGTCCCTCAGAGGTCTCAGTGCTTGGACCCCACTGGCCTGGAAGCCTTCTGCACCTGCTGAAGCTTCCTTGGGTGCAGAGACCTCTCCCGTCCTCCGTGCTGGACTCCCCTGATCTCCTCTTCCTTTCCGCTCCTTGGAAGTTGTTATTCACCCTCCTCAGTCTTGAGTGGCCCTTGGCTGCTGGGAGCAATGTACCGTTTATTTCCCCCTTGTGTTGGGACTTGTCTTGCGAGAGGTTAAGAATGAGAATTCACATTCCTTTAAACACTCTGACTAGTGGCCTTTCTTCCTGCGGAGATGCACATGCCACCTGTGTAATTGTGTCCTCTTTAAGAGGTGATTTGGATGCAGTTGCTTTTCTGAGAAAGTTATGGTTTGGTTTATGAAAAGAGAGGCCCCTTAAATCCCAAGCCTTAGCTTACCGAAAACACGACTAGATCTGCCAGGGTTAATCCACGTAAAGCTTGCCCGTCCCGCCCCGCTTGGAGTGCGGCTGTCCCTGTGCACGTAGCTGTGGGGCACCCGGCACCCAGGGCTCCAGTCACTGTTACTCCGTAACCTCTCCTCTCTTGTTCTCTGCGTGTTCTTGCCAGTGCTCTGTGAAGAACTGCCGCACGGCCTTCCACGTCACCTGTGCTTTTGACCGCGGCCTGGAGATGAAGACCATCTTGGCGGAGAACGATGAAGTCAAGTTCAAGTCCTACTGCCCGAAGCATAGCTCACATCGCAAACCCGAGGAGACCCTCGGTGAGGGGGCCGCTCAGGAGAATGGGGCTCCTGAGTGCTCCCCCCGGGATCCGCTGGAGCCCTTTGCCGGCCTGGAGCAGAATCAGGAGGAGGCTCACCGGGTGAGTGTCCGCAAGCAGAAGCTGCAGCAGCTGGAGGATGAGTTCTACACCTTCGTCAACCTGCTGGATGTTGCCAGGGCCCTGCGGCTGCCTGAGGAGGTAGTGGATTTCCTGTACCAGTACTGGAAGTTGAAGAGGAAGGTCAACTTCAACAAGCCCCTGATCACTCCAAAGAAAGATGAAGAGGACAATCTAGCGAAGCGGGAGCAGGATGTCTTGTTTAGGAGGCTGCAGCTGTTCACTCACCTGCGGCAGGACCTGGAGAGGGTAATGATTGACACTGACACCTTGTAGTGACTTAGAGAAGAAGATTGCAAAGAGGCGACTGCTTGCCCAGAGCAAGGAATGGTAGCCAGTTCATTTGCTCTCAGACCCTCGTACATACTGCAGCATGAGGTTGTGTTGGTTAAATACATTTATGGGCTGGTAAACTCACTGTACATACATGCAAGATGGCCACAGAGTGGGGAGCTTCTTTGATTTAAACACTTTCCCATTAATCCTTACTGTTCTTCTGCAGGATCAGGTGGGATGTGTCTTCCCCTCTTCATTCTAGAGCTAAGGGGAACTGAGCCCCAGGAAAATGACCAAGGGTTTGGCTCAGAATTGTTTACAAACTGAGTGAGAAAACCAGAATGGGTTTAACTAAATAGTGAGGGGTGGGTGTGGGCGGAGGTAGGAAGACATCTGGTCAACCTGGGGAAACACAGGTGCTGGTCATGGGCTCATTAAAGAGAGCGGAGCACTGCCTCTCTGGCCCAGCTTTGCTTCTTGGCGAACTCTCAGGGCCTTCCCGGTTCCGTCACAAGCAGAGCAGGCTGTGGGTGCTGATGTGTGTGTGTGAACTCCGTATACAAGCATCTCTGTTCCCGAAGGGGCTCCTGGCAGTGAGGTGCAAAGTTGTCACTGAGGCTCTGCATATACTGTGTGCACGTGTGTGTGTCCATGTCTGTCTGTGGGCTGTGTCTGGTGTGGATGTGGGGTGGGATTCCCGGTGCACAGGGGCCTCCAGTCTGACAGAGGGGCCCCTGGTCGTTCTTGACGCGTTATCACACTACTGGACTGCCCAGTGTAGTGGCTGGTGTCACTTCTTCCTCCAGCTGTTGCTGCTTTGTGCCTCCCCCACCCTCCAGTACCTTTGGAGTCCCTGTCTGGACCGCCCTTCCTGCTGCAGGAATAATTAGGAGTGGGCTGTCTTTTCCCCAGGGCCTCCTGCTCCTTGTAGGTAGTTTCTGACTGAGGCTCGCTAATTGGGGATGCATTGTAGAGCACCTTCTGCAACTCCCCTGGCTGCCGACAGCCGGCTCCAGTTAAATTCATTAGTGCGTGGGAGATGGGACTGAGGCCTCTAGCCTGAAGCAGCCTGGGCTGAAAGGCACCCAAGTGGCCTGAAACAGTTAACGGCATCTCCCCCAAGCACGAACTTATTAGTGGAGTGAGTCACCTGCTTGGAAGAGACTCTGACTCAGGATTTGAAGCGACAGTAGGGAAAGAATAGGGATACAGGGAAGAAGTATTGAACCAAAAGATCCAGATCTTACAGAGACCTGCAGGCTGTTAGATGGCACAGCAGTGAGAGGGTTTGTAAGGGTCCCTTAGAAGAGACCCTTTTAGTACCTGGCTGAGTGCAGGCTCCTTGAGATGCCCCTCCCGGGCACCTGGTTAAGAGTCTGGATTCAGGTGGAGGTGGGCGTGGGCGGGGGGGTGGGTGTGAGGGCTCGTTGT